GCCTCGACCCCTCCCTCCTCCCCTCCCCCTCCCAGCAGACCCCCCCGCTCCAGAGGATGGCCTCGTCCCCCTCCGTATCGACCCTCAACGCCGTGGCAAACTTCTACCCCCTCCAGAACCAGAGCCCCCTCCCCTTCACCAACTCGAACCTCCAGGGCCTCGAGTTCCTCCAGTCCCTCAACAGCCAGCCCGGCGGCCTCGACGCGGACTTTGGCGGCGGCGGAGGCGGCACCGGGCAGCAGGACGCGCAGATGGACCTCAACTTCGGGCTGGGGTGGGAGGGCCTGCACCACGACTTCAGCGACGGGCAGCAGCTGGATCTGTTCGACGGCTTCTTCTTCGGGGACCAGAGGGGCGCGGGCGGAGGAGGGGGTGGTGGAGGGGGCAGTAACGGTATGGGGCTCAGCATGGCGCTCGATCAGGCGGCGGAGATGCAGCTCAAGGGGGAGGATGGGGGCGATGGTGGGAGTGGGGAGAGGGTAGGGTAGGGTAAGGGGGCATGTGATTTTTTTGTCCAATCTTTGGGTTCTTCTTGTTTTGTTTTCCTCCTTTTTTCTGATTTTTTGTCTTTTTGCTACTGGGAAATGGAAAGAATCTGGGAAGGAAGGGGGGTTTTTCTGGATCATGGAATTGGGGTTTTTTTTTTTTGGATCCGAGCCTGGAAATTTGGACTTGCAAAAAAGATGCCCTTGTCGAAGCGATTATGCGTTGCATTTTTGACTCGTTTTGAGTATCCCCCCCGTGTCTGTAGCATGTACCATTATACCCGCAGTGGCATGTTGTTGATGACTCTTGTCAGATGAAGTGAAAGATCCGGTGTCATTGGTTTTAGGTATCTGCTCGGATCGCAGTAATCCATACAGCACCTGCGTGGTGATGATGAAGGTATTGTTTATACAGCATATTGATCCCCAATGCTCGCCGCACAGTAAAGGTCATAAGGTTCGTCCTTCTCACCGTTACCCTCTCTAACCCTTCTTGTTCGCCGCCCACCACTGCCGCGTATTCTCAGCCGCCTGCTCCTCTCCCGCCCGCAGGTTCCGGACCGACTCCCCACCCTTCGCCCGGGCGTTGCGCACAAACTCGCGCTCCTCGTGCTGCGCGGCCTGCAGGAGCCGCTCGCCCTTCTGCTGAGCGGTCTCTACAAAACTGTCAACCCTCTGCTGCACCTCGTCGGCGAGACCCCTGGCCTTCTGCTGGGCGGTCTTGACCAGGGCCTCCTCCCGCGCCCGGACGTCGTGGACGGCCCTGCGGGCCCGCTGCTGGACTTCGGACGCAGCCGTCTCTCCCTTCTCGAGGATGGTGCTGGCGTTTTCCTGCCTTTGTCGTCAGCAAAAGACTTTGTCTCTCTCTCTCTCACCTCCGCACTACTCGCTGCTGCTTCTCCTGGACATTGACTATTTATTTACCTGTACATTGACCACGACATCCCGGACGGCGCCCGTCCCAACGCCGTTGAGAGGACTGAACGTGCGCCTCGCCCAGTCCGCCCCTACGCCGTCCCAGACGACCCGGTCGTCCTCCGCGCGCTTGGCGGGCGGCATGACGTTGCCGCCCTCGCCGCCGTGGGTGAGGATCCAGACGAAAGGGAACAGGGCAAGGGTCCCCGCCAGACACATTGCGGTGGCGAACAGCTGCCACAGCGAGACGAGGGCGTCGCCGATGCCGAAGGGGAGGACGAACTTGACGAACTCGTTTACCTGGTAGAGGTCTTCCTGCTTGGCGATCAGGTAGTGGCCGTCTCCTCTGCTCTCACCAGATAGAAGAGGCCTGCCTGTTGACGAGGCCACCTCGGCGAAGCTGGGGGACTCGCCTTCCTGGATCTCCTTGGCTAGACTATGTCCGTGGGTGGGTTTGTCGCCGTTGGTCAGCCGCGGGTGGAGGGAGTCGGCGGCGACTTGGCTCTGGCGGCCGTCGGTCTTGACCAGGCTGAGCCGGGTGACCAGGTTGACGTTGGCGACCATGAAGGGGACGAACCAGAGGGCGAAGCGCTGGGTGATATCGAGGTAGAGCCTGTTGGCGGCCGGGTCGAAGTGGACCGAGTTGAGTTTGAGGTCTATGCGCGGGCTTAGGATGCGGTACCACCTGAGCACGGCCAGGACGAGCTGGCGCGAGTTGATCTGGCCGAGGAGGGGGACGGAGAAGTTCTGGAAGGGGGGTACCCGGCAGAAGGGGTGCACGAACTCGGCGTTGGGGGCGAAGTAGCGGTTTACTGCGGCTGCTTGCTCCTTGGGGCTGCCTTGGGTGAGGAGGCGGACCACGCCTTCGATCTCTTTGACTGTGAGTCTGTTAGTGTGTGTTGCTGGTGAGACGAGTGTAGAGGATGGACTCACCTGGGTCATCCATGGGTAAGGATGCGGTGTTATGCACACAGGTGAGTATGATGATGGGTGATGATGGGTGATGATGGGAGGTGTAATGGCCAGCCAAGCCTCCTCCAGCAAAGGGCGTGTAAGTGGTGGGCAGAGCTCAGGTCTATCAAACTGCTCGTTTGGATAGAGGAAGTCGATTACCCCCCGAATGTCAGGACGTGGGGATTATCAAGATTATAAACACATGATGATATGTGCTGTCGGAGCTTCTGGGTGTGTTTTACTGTACACGTAGTAAGGGTACATTAAGTGTACATGTAAGTGGAAGTCGTGGTGGCTTGACAGGGCGTGTGATGTCATTGGCAGGGACCGTACTGTGGTACCTATTATCCAGTTCGGAGCATGTGATAAAAGCCCCCAACCCGGACCTCCGATACCTACAGTGGTACTACCTACTACCTTAGACTCTACCTACCAGTACATACAGCAGTGGTACTGTTATACAACACAGCAACAGTCAGTCAGATGGCGCCTTGCTTGGCAGGCACCACAACCCGCATGTGACTCCTCTGGACCCTGGATGACCCTGGATGATGCAGTCTCTCTCTAATCATGAGACACTGTCTCAAAGTTAATTCCAACCGGTTGGGATATCAGACTAACAATCTGACAATCATAGCAGCTACCTTCCTTGGCCAGTATGCCGACTTCCTCATCAATCATACCAGTTACTACATAGTAGACTAATATCTCCAGTCTCCCGACAAATGCTCCTGCTCTGAATGGACCGCCACTCAAGTAACCTTGGAGGTGCCTTATGTATAACCATCACCAACCTGCAAGGCTAGAATGAGGCACAAGTTCAAGTTTAGATAAAATAGGGAAAAGCATCCAACATAGCCCTCCATCTCATTGAGAATGCAAACCCCTCGTACATCCATTAGACATAGATCCAGAGTCGTGAGACCGCATTACCGTCCATCCAGTCTCTCCATCACCCCAAAGACGCCGACCAAGACCCGTGCCGGCCCGTACCATGCTGCAATCCTACATTCCCATCACGAGCTATAACCCCGCCATACATTTGAAGACCATCACCAATCACCATCACCTCCTCCGACTGCCACTCCCCCTCCGCACCTCTCGCACCACAACGTCATCCTCCTGCACAACCCTGTACCCCCCGCTCCTCCTCTCAGCACTGCTGCGTCTCCTGCTCTTATGCCGTCTCGGCGGACTATGCTCCTCGAGCACGACAATCTCGTCCTCCTCATCCACCACCCGCGGCGGCGGCCTAGCCCCACCACGGCTGACGCTCCTCGTCCTCGTCCTCGTGGTATCCTCCACCACCACCTCCCTCACCCGACTGCCCCCTCGCTCCTCGACGATGACCGGCCTCCCCGGTCCGCTGGTCCTGATCTCCACCGTCTCCCGCCTCGGACTGCGGTGGTGCCGATGGTGGTTGTGCTTCCTCACCCTCCGCGTCCCCACCGAGGCCGTCCCGACCGACATGACGGTGCTCTCGGCGTCGGTGAAGGCGTCCGGGTTGCCCACGTTGAGGCACGTGTAGATCAGCCACAGCAGCAGGATGAAGCCCGCCACCGACCCCAGGGTGATGCCGACCACGGTCCCCGCGTCCGGGCCGTTGGGGGTGCCGTAGGTGGCCGGGATGGTCGAGGTTGTGTGCGCTGCTGCTGCTTGGCGCGGGACGACGCGGGTCCCGCCCCGGAAGAGGAGGGTGGAGAGAGTGGTGCGTGTCGGGGAGAGGGAGTCAGGGGCCGATGCGAAGCGGAGGGACAGCGAGGGTGAGGTCGGTGGTGATGGTTGCAGCGGGGCAGAGCTGTGGTGCAGGAGGCCGAGGAGGGAGTCGGGCGACGCCGATATGCGCCGGAGGACGGGCGCCATTGCAGCCCCGTTTGCGCTGCGCGCTTGGGTAAAAACTGGGGGAATTCGTTCGCGATGATGGTGTGTCTTGGAATTTGACACGAGGCTTGGACGATGGCAGTCGCGCCCGGTGCGGCGGATCGGTGCCTCGCCGACACTGGAATGCGGCAGATAAGCAAAGCCGGCGATCGCGGGTGAAACAAGCCTCTTAGGCGCCGCGGTATATCAGGTGTTTATCTATATAGAGCGTGATATATCCAATCGTTCAAATTTGCGGCAATCAGGTTGAAGGAGGGGGGGAAATTGCGGAAGCAAGGAAGTATAGAACGAAGCGAGTGACGATAGCGATGGTGTTTTTGGCAAATGGGACACCAACATAGCCAACAGCAACAAGGCAAACAGCAAGGCAGCACATCCGCAGAGTCAAAGTGGGATGACGAGGTGCCCTTTTTGGTTGTGAGATTTGGGTAACGCAGGCAACGGCAGGTGTTGACTCTGATTGGCTGTCAGCTTGTACCGGTTCGTGTAGCCACGGGCAAACGTGGAAGCCAAGCCGGGCCCGCAAACGGGGACCCGCTCGCTCCGTTTTCCACACCGGAAGCTCCCGAGTCAACCTGGAAGGTACCTTACCTTACCTTCGATACCTGCCCCTGGTACCTGACGTAGGTACCTATCCGCATGTCAGGGAGAGGAAAATTTCATCGACAAGAAAAAGACCCTCTCTATACAGAATACAGACGGGACTAGCACCCTACCTACACGTGTACAAGCTCCAGTAGCGCGACCTGAGTCTATCAATCACATGGACAGATGGCCGAGCGGTCTAAGGCGCTACGTTCAGGTAAAATGGTTCTCTCTCCGGAGCTAAGATACCACACCACTGGGCTTCGTAGTCTCGAAAGAGGCGTGGGTTCGAATCCCACTCTGTTCACTCCCAACCTTTGTGTCCTATCGGGTATGGTGTAGCGGTAACATCGATGACTCTCACTCATCAGCCCGGGGTTCGACTCCCCGTATCCGAGTTCCTTTTTTTGCTCTCTCTCACTCTCACTCTCTCTCTCTCTCTCACACACACACAGAGCATGGGAGAGGAGGACAATATGTCTTGAGCCTACGAAGGTCAATGGATGCCACAAGCCCAAATTCCTGTCCTTGCTACCAGGCAGAGCCACCTTCACACAATAGACTGCGCACCCGTTAGTCCTCCCGTAACGTAAAACCCATAAGAAACACCAACAAACCCGCTCATACCAGATTCCTAAAGTTGCGTATCACAGCCCCAGCCTTCTTCTCCTTCTTGTCCTCCTTCTTGCCATCTGCCTTCTTCTGCTCCTTGCGCAAGCTGTTCTGCACACCACCTAAAACCCAGAGTCAGTCAATGATCGGTCTAAAACATTCGCAAAAAGCCGAGAGAACACCCGTCACCTACCTCGGCCGTAATACCTCTCCCCCTGCGGACTAGCCGCCCCGTCCGACGGCGCCTGCCCGCCCCTCGTCGGCGTACTAGGCCTGCCGCTCCCCGTCCCAAGCGAGCCCCCCACCGGCTCCAGCGGCGCCGTGGCATTGTAGCTCGTCGCCTCGAACATGGCCTCCGGGTCCGACAGCCCCCGCGTGCCCCTCGTCCTGATGTTCACCGGGCTGCTGTTCGTCTTCACCAGCGGCAGCACGCCCTCGACCTCCCCGACATCTCTCACAGACAGGCTCCTCCCGGCCCTGTTCTTCTTCTCCTGCGCCTCGACCTGCAGGTCCAGCAGCGAGCTCTGCGCCACAGTGTACTTCCGCTTCAGCATCGCAAACTGCCTCTGCAGCTCCGCGTGTTTGGCCTGCAGATTCGCCAGCGCCGTCTGGAACACGCTCTCGACCACCACCCTCCCCCCACTCTCGGGGTCCGGCGCCTCTCTCGCCCTCCGCTCCAGCTCGGCGACCTTCTGCCTCAACCCCTCAATCTCCCTCTCGTACCCCTCCCTCTCCTGCCGCAGCCGCTCCTCCCTAGCCTTGACCTCCATCAACCTCTCCTCCGCCCTCGCCTCCGCCCCCGCAGCCTCCTCCACAGCCCCCCTCATCTGCGTCTCGAGCCCCTGATACCGCCTCTCACTAGCCGCCAACCGCGCGACCTCCTCCTTGAGCCTCCGAATCTCCTCCCCCCGAACCTCAAACGCCTCCCCGTCCTGCTGCGCCCGCAGCCTCTCCGCCTCGGCCCCAGCCACCAACCTCCTCAGCACCTCGCACTCCCCCCTGGCCGCCTCCAGCCCCCTCCTCAGCCCCTCCTCCTCCGCCGCCCACCTCTTCTGCTCCTCCCTCAGCTGCCTCAGCCGCCCGCTCAGCTGCGCCTCCCACTTGGCCGCCATGTTCCGCCTGTTCTCCCCTTCCCTCTTGGCCCGCGCCTCCCCCCTCTTGGTCTCCGACAGCTGGTGCTTGAGGCTGCGGTTCGCCATGATCAGGTTCTGCGTCTCCGCCTCCGTCGCCGCCTCCCGCAGCATCCTGCGCCGCAGCTCCCCGATGTGCGCCATGTGCTGCTGCTTCATGTACCGCTCGAAGTTGAGGTCGTTCTGCAGCAGCAGGTTCTGCCGCTGGAGCACCGCCACCTGCGCCCGCGGGTCGGCCGGGGTCGGGGTCGGGTTGTTCGCCGCTCCCTGTTGGGCGGCCCGCTGCTCCGCCGTGCTGTCCGCGTGGCTCAGGGCGAGCGAGGGGACGCTGGCGTTGTCCAGGGACTGGTGCAGGCCGGTCTTGATCACCTTGTTGGAGTTGATCATGTCTTGCAGCTGGCTGTGGGAGGGCGACGTGACGAGCGTCGGGGGGATGGTTGGGCTGTCGCCGCTGCTGCTGTCGCGCGGCCGGGCCTCGAGAGAGGCCCGCGTGGATGGGTGGCTGGATTGCGAGGTCCTGCGCGCGAGATCCTTGAAGCCGAGGTGGACGCCGCCGCCGCCGCCGTCGCCTGTCGAAGAGGATGCGATGGAGGTGTGCCGCGGGTCGCTTGGTTTCAGGTCGCGGAGAGAGGGATGCGGCGCGCTGCCGGTGACGGGGCTGCTGAGAAGCGGGATGCCCGACCCGCTGTTGTTGTCGTCGTCGTCTGGCGGGGCCGTGACGGGATCGCGGACCGGAGGGGCGCTCATTTCCTCCCCGACGTCCGGTCCGGTGGCGAAATCGGCTTGGACGCACAGGTTCATGCAGTCCGTGATGACTTCGGCCGGTTCGCTCTTGATCCACCGGCTGAAGTCTGTCTTTTCCGACTCGATGGTCAAGTGGTAGAAGTTGGGATGCAGGAGATGGCAGCGGCGGAAGCGTTCGGATCTCTCGCGGATCTCGGTGGCTTGCACGTCGATGTCCTCTGCGTTGTTGGCGTGCCTCAGGTAGCGCTGCGGCTTGCGGATGTAGTCGAGGAAGTTTATGGGGTACAGGCCGTACAGGATGGTAAAGTATGCTGATAGATGGTGGATGGAGTTGCCGTCGAGGTCGTTGTCGAAGAGACACTTGTCCCAACTGGGATCGGCACCTTTGGTCTCGCTTCCCCACTGACTATGCTGCGCTGCAAATGACCTGTCCCTGTCCCAGAATAGAAGCCGCGCGTAGATGTTGAACAAGGTTGGCAGATATGGCACGAGAGAACTGGGCATGTTTGGCAGCAGCATGAACAGGCTGACCAGACCCAGCGAGACGGTTGTGGTTGAGTCGTCGTACTGGAGCGACTTGAGGATACTCTCGAACAGCGGTGTCTGCAAGACCAGGTGTAGATGTGGCGGCTGGCTCTGCACGAACTCGCACAGCAAGTTGAGACAGCGGTTACGGTACTCCTTCCTGACAAAGTAATTATTCAGTGCAATTAGGAAGCCCTGAGAAGAAATTAGCTAGGCCGCCTTGTAAGTCTTCATTGGCGTCCAGGCGCTGTTGCTCACCTTGGCGTCCTTCTTCCCAAATGTCATGATGGCTTCCTGCATGAATCTCTCCTTGCTGTCACTAGAGCCGCTTCCGGTGGCTGCCTGATTCAACGCGTTAAGCTGCATCCATCGTGACAGCAGCCGGTCGGCGAAGATATTGGGTCCCTCGCTGGGAGGTCTATCATAATCGGCCTCCTCGAATGCCAGAAGCTGGAGAATGTTCTTCAACGCTTCGTTGGCCAAGCCCTTTTCGATGTTGAGGTTCTCGAGAACGGGGTCCAGGAATCTATCCCACCATTTGACTATCCTGGCAGGCGTCCGGAGGGCCGGACGCACCTGGCGCAGGACAGCGAGGAAAGGAGCGTATTTCTCGTGCCGACCGTTGACGAATTTGTTGTAGATGGACGTAAGCTCTTCTTGCAGGCGATCGGCGGCCGCGTCGTCGTATTTCTCGTGCCTCTCGAGGTAGGCAGCTATTACCTGGTTTAAGTCGTCGGGGAGAGGCAGGACGGGGGATTGGATGTAGGCATTGATGGCCTTGGCGACGTCCTTCGTAGACCTAGTAGATAATTAGCAATCAAACATTGCAAGACATGGGATATCAGAGACGCATTGGAGGATCATGAATGGATTCTGGCTAAAGTACATACGCGGGTGTCGCCATCTTCTACGCTCCTCCTAACCCCCTATGATCATGAAGTCTGGTGACGTCTGCCCTGGATATTGTGGACTTCCTGTCTCTCTCTCGCTGATCCTCAGGAAAACCTTGCGATTGAGAAAGCGTAAACAGCTCCAATAAAGAACACAAAAGGCTGGATCATGACCTTCAAAGAATACCCCTGCAGCAGAGCTGAGCAGCAGCCGCATTCATGAGGTTGCGGAGTATGCCAGGAGCCTAGCCGGTGCAGCCTCTGAACTCTAGCAGTGTTGGAGCAAGGCGGCTTTTCAAGGTGAAGGCCTGCTCACCGAGAGGTGCTAATCGTCATGATGATAAGGTGCATGTGACCCAGCTTGACTAAAAGTACGTACTGGGCGGGCTAGGACTGCGCTAAGGGCCCACCCCAGTCCACAAAAAGCACGGTTCTGGTGCTAAACCCCGCACTTTCACTTTCACCCGCATATCGCATTCCCATTGACCCCGCCATCGTGCGCAAGCCTGGCAAGCTCACGCAACAGTGACCAGTTCCAGGGGCTAAAGTGGCCAGAGGGGCCACTGGAACGCGCCTTCCGGTTGGGAGCTTCCCAGGTCATGCTTGACGTGGGGTAACGTCGATCAGCTCACGTACTGCCATTCTGCCATTGTGGCCGCAACCAGATGGAGGGCCAGGGCTGCGGCACATCGAGCTGACCTGTCCTTGCCTCTGTGTCTGAACCCCAAAGCTCCTCTCGTGACTCGACCCCTCGCACAGATTCTCCCAACTCCAACTTCGATTCCGTCTTCGTCTTCATCTTCCATCTTCCATCCTCCATTCCATCTTCATATCCTGATCAACTCGTCGAAGGAGGCACGTCTCACGTTTACAAAGCTGATTCCCATCTCCTCAACTCCCTCTTCAAGTATCAATTGACTCCATACTATCGGTATTGGAGATACACCCATAACACCTCAAGCCCTTCTTCCATTCCTACCACCCACAAGTCGTCAAGATGGCTGCAAAGGGGTCTGCAGTGGCGGACGAGCCTGTCGACATCTTGTTCGCCCTGCATCCCAACTTCAACCTCATGGACATGGCTGGTCCTCTCGAGGTCATCACCTCTGCCCTCCATGATCCCAATGATAAAAGTGAGCCTTCACCTCCACCTACGTTTGCCGCGGTTGTCCGCATAAGCGTATATTGTTACTTACGAACATTCCCCGCATAGCCTCCAAGGCCTTTGAAGTGACCATTGCCGCCGGCGAACCCAAGGTCGTCAGTGAGCAGGGCGTCGTCATCGGCTCCCAGATCTCGTGGAAAGAGGCCAAAGACCGCCTCTCAGACTTCGACGTCCTCGTCGTGGTCGGCGGCAACGTCGAACCCGTCATCAAGGCCAAGGCCGAGCCCCTCGACCTCATCAC